GTGTGCTTGCGTTCTTTGTGCACAGTGTGAGTGGGTGCCGAGAATCGCTAGTTCTATTAGAGAGTTGAAATTGAAGGGGATGTGTGGAAACGAGTGTCGAGGAGCATTCATGTCTAGGCCTATTGTGCACAGCTAACTCCCCCCTCCCCCTCCCACCTCCTCCTCTGCTCCTCCTCATCCCTCTCCACCTCTGTCTCTATTTCTCTCTTTCTTTCTCTCTCGCACTCTCACACATTCAATTGCTCCCTCTTGATCACTCTGTCCTACTCAATTCAAAAAATGCCTCTCCACTCTGTCTGCTCACTCTCTCCATTCTCTTGTCTCTGTTTTCTCTCTGTTTTGTCTTGGTGAGGAGAAGCAAGGTTGAGTTGCGGATTGAACTGGGAATATGTTGAATGAATCTTCATTGTTGCTGGGTCCTCTTTGTCTTTCTGTTGTTCTGTTTTCTCACCGTTGTCTGCTTTTCTTTATCTACTATTCTGTACTCTCTCATTCTTGAATGTGCGTACCTCCTGATAACATAACTCTTGCATCTTCGCTTTGTTTACTATTATATAACATAGGTGCTTTCATTGTGTGTCTAAATAGCAAGAAAAATGTACTCTCTCTTGTCTAGCAGTCGTCATCACACAACGCTGTACAATATAGAAAATTCCCAACGTATTCATCTATAGAGAGGGGACTTGTAGGTTGAACTGAATCCTCTGGGCTCGTTACTCTTGTTAGGTGTGGTGGAAGAAGTATTTACAGTAGATCTTGTATTTGATAAAAGTAGTAGAGCCTAAATAATGTCCAAAACAAGATATTTGAAGATGACATCGTGGACTTTAAGATTCTACCATTTCTCACTGTTTTATGCTTCATTACAAGTGGTGGAGTCCTGCATTCAGAATTTTAGTTGAGTAAAAGTACATAAGTAGTATCAAAAAAAAAAGGTAAAAGTAGTCATGATGCAGACCGGAACCTGTCAAAGTGTTATATTATCATATATTATGTTACTGGATTATAGATCTGATGTGTTAACTTGCATGCAGTAATTTAAGGTTGTAGCTGATTGAGTTGGAGCAGTTGTGTAGTTTATAATAATGCGGCATATTTTTAAGGCCATTATATGTTTTGTATGTAAAATCTTAATTTAGTAATTAGTCAATATAAATGTAGAGCAGTAAAGTATAACGTAGCAGAAAACAAAGACTCAGTTCAAGTACACCTACATCAGAAATAACAGTGTTTGAGTAAATGTACATGGTTAATTCTACAACTGCTTGTTTGATTTTGTGATTGAGATTCACTTGTAGCATTTGGAAGGAAGGTTTTAAGTCTTTTTGAGGTATTTAAGAAATGATGTATGAAGTATCATGTCCTGTTGTATTCTTGTCAGGAAACAGTAACATAAGACACTCAAATAGTAAAGCTCATTCAGGGACAAGGCAGGACACCCTGAGCAAGCCTGTGAAATGTTAGGTTTGTTTAGGCGGCCTTCCATGTTTCTTTGGAACACATTTTAAATCAACTTGAACACGTTTTTGTCTCTGTGTTTGCTTTCCCTTTTTGCATCTACATTCTCTAGTCACAAAAGATAAGGCTTATTTAAATTGTTGAAAAGCAGCAGAGACATCTCCAACTGCATTGGATTCAGCCTGTTGCAGATCCTTGATGTATTTGTCCAGTGTCCTAGCCCATTTTTATATTATGTATGTTTTATTGCACACGTGTAATGCTCTTGTCAATGAATGTCTGCTCCAGTAGCACTTTAGGAAAGCTAGAGAAAAAAAGCAGAGCAAAACGGAAAGAGGGGACAAAAGAGAGAAAGAAACATTCAGACAGAAAAAAGCTGAAGGAGAGACACAGAGAGGAGGATAATAGACAGCACAGATAAAAGAGACAGAAGCTGCGTTGGGGGAAAAAAGAGAGAGACGGTATAAAGGGCACTGAAAAAGAGGAAGAGCCATAGTTAGCATGGAGCGAGTCCCGCAGAGACATTTTAGAGACATTTTAGATATGTCAGTGAGTGTGTATGTGTAATGATGAGCGGATAGGAGTGAAGCGCTTGATGGGGAGCTGTGCTCTGCATGCCTAATGACTGTTAGGAGGGCCCCTCTCTCCTCATCGCGCCACGAATTACGCTCTAACACAATTACTGCTGCTTTGCATATCTCAGACGGATTGGATGATTACCAACCAAATGTGATAATAGACCTGTATGTGAGAAAGATAGGGAATGTGCATGACGAGGGAGAGGAAAGGGTGTGTGTGTGTTTGCGTGGGTGATTGTGTGTGCGTCCAAGAGTTTTGAGAAAGAGTATTAAGTACAAGCAACTTAATTAATGAGGTGAATAAAGGGAGTCTGATATTTCTGATCTGTGTGTGTGTGTGTTTGATGCAAGGTATGTGTGCTTCAGTTTGGGAAGGTCATAGCAGATGTTTTCCATACTGATGAGAGTGTGGTTTGAATCAAAAGGGTTTAAAGGATAGGTCTGATGATTTTCAGTTTTTTTTTTTTTCTTGTCAACAAATGCCATGAAAAAAACCCAAACCAACCATGCAGTGATCCACTAACTAGTTTTGTCTGCGTAGCCCTATGTAAACTTGATACAGCTTATTCCTTTGTGCCACAGACATAATGGTTCAAAAACTATTAAAGGACCTGCACACCCACACAACTGCTTTCATTTACTCTGGCGGATGGGACCTTTAATCAGGTCGTAGTTGGATTGGGGCTATGCTGGGAATTGCGTGATGTCACCAAAGCACAGCCAGATACTGTAATCAATAGGTCTTTTTCACACATTTTAACTGGTGATAGAAGGAAAAGAACAGGTGTTACTAATAACATTAATGATAGCTCTGTTCAAGTGTCCCAGTAAAGGACTTTTCACACCATCCAGATTTTTTGTATCCGTTTTTTTAATCCATCTAATTAAAATCATTACGCATAGAAACCTTGCTGACTGAGTCCAATGCTCTTTATTATTGCATTCATTGCAAAATTCACAATACGCTAAGAGGATGGTTTTTGTGGTCCTCTAACTTGAAAGTAGAAAAAGAAAAAGGAAATATTGGGTCCAGGTTGTCAAGAACAAGGAGTTTCACCTGCTGATAAAGGAGCTGTCTGATCGCTGTGAGGTTCCTCCGCAGGCTGTCGCCACTCTCTGCCTGCATCTTGCATTTGGCAGTGCAAGAGTGAGCTCTCCCCCCTCTCTGTCTGTGTGCGCTCATCTGACTGGTGCGATAAAACGCAACATTTTTGACCTGTTCTGAAAACTTTATTGACGGACGAAAGTTTCGGAGTCGGCAAATAACATTATTGACAAAATGTGAGGTTGTATTTATTTTCAAATGTGCGACAAGTCTTGTGGCTTTAAGTCATAACGGTGTGACAGTGAGCCAGCATGCACAAAACCAGGACCCTAAACTGAAGCAGCTATGTTTTATTATTTACACCTGTGCTTTTCCTACTGTGACATGTCAATATGTCTTCCATGAAAAATGCGTAAAGTTACCAAAACCTGAACGACACAGTCTTGGTTTCCCCCAATCTTGCTGCTCATCGATAATGGTGTAACAAATCTAATAAGAGAGCGAGGGAGCCGTCAGTCAAGCACAGTCTGTACACACCCACATAGTCCTGAGACGAGGTCTAATCAGGCGACGTAAGTGAAAACGCCTGTGTGGGTGGACTAAGGACGTGTAGTGAATTTAAACACACATCAATGAGCCACACGGTTGCACTGGGTGACATGTTCCTATATTACGCTGAACGTGGGCACTGTAGTTTATTTTGAGTCAGTTCCACATATACCATCCTGCTGCTCTGAATACTCACTAGAGCATTAAATGTGTATCCATCCACATCTGAAAATAGTCCGTAACAAATACAGTATTTACTCCTGTTTGAGTCATGTTTGCTAGAAACTACAGTGCCCACCTGCTTCAGGAAACAACTTGTTTACATTTTGAGGAATAAAACTCTGTTGGGGTCATTATTGAGACAGACTGACACACTGTTGGTTTTGGTCTTTTCATGGGATTTGTTGGCTAAAATTTAGAGTAACACCAGTATTATCCTTTTAATGACAAAACTCTCCTTTCACAGGCTGAGATAGTGAAGAGATTGAACGGGATCTGCGCACAAGTCCTCCCCTACCTGTCTCAGGAGGTAAGCGCGCACACACACACACACACACTCACTGACACGAAGACGTCACTAACCCTCTGACCCTCAGCCCTATTCCTTACATCCTGGAATGAGATCACCCTCATTCCCGCCTCATTACCTCTCCACCTCCGTGACCCCTCGCTCAGCATCCCTCCCTCCTCTTCTCTCCTCTCCTCCCATCATTCATCATCACTCGCTTCCCTTGTTCCTTTCCGCCTCACTTTTGCTTTATGCCTCCCTCCCCCACTCTCTTGTGCCATATTCACTCCGTCCTTCCAGATTTCTCTCCCCTCCCTTTTTGACCTCCTCCTCCTCTCCCCTCCTTCCCTTTATTCTTCCCTCCTCCTCCTCCTCCT